AGACGCCTCCTGCAAAGCAGAGAGGGGCTGGGTGGGCTGCAGCATCCCCAGCCAGCACCCATCACCCACCCATGACACCCAGGATGCTGGGGTGCAGGGGGTCCCTGGCCGTTACCTGAGGCACAGTGTAGGGTGAAGGGTTCATGAACTCGCTGAGGTCGATCATGCACTCACGCTCATCCTGAGAGACATGGATGGACTGGATAGGGGGGAAGCGGGGGTAGGCATCCCGGAAATCCTTCAGCTTCAGCCGTCGCTGCACCAGACTCAGGTTGGCCCTTTCCACGAAAACCTTGGAAAGAAAGAGAACATCAGGGACTGTCCCACAACACTGCCAGGCAATGGGGCCAGAGCAACACACCAGGGCAGGGAGGGAAGAAGACAGGAGCATGGGGCAGATGGACCATCTGAAGAAGAACAGTCTGTTTCCCACTCACTCAGGGTTTGTAAGCCCAGTGGGGTGCAGGATGATGCTGGGGTAACCCCAGCATGGCACAACACCCCTATCATCTCTTTGGGTGAGGCAGCAGTGGGACAGGGGCACCGAGGCTCAGACACAGCACGAATGGCCTTCACGCAGCATCACCCACCTTGTGCTTCAGCAGAACAATGAGCTGGGAGCGCAGGATCAAGCCCCGCAAGCCTGCCACCTGCAACAGAGCAGAAATGAGGCTGGGGGGACAAGGGTCCCATGCCACAGCCAGCCCTCACATGGCCATCCCCCAGCTGCATCCCCTCCCAAGCAGCACCCAGCCTACCTGTGTGGCATCAGGGTTGCTCTCAACCACCGGGAAGCCATTGTGGTTGGAGGAGGTGTCACTGAGGATGTCCACAACCGTGCCCACTCGCTCAATCCTCCGCAGGCAGGTGACAGGAGTGCTCATGACCTCCCTGTAGAGAACGCATGGTGTGAAACACAGCCTCACAGCAGCACGTCCCAAATGTCCCCCCCGGTACACATGCCTCCACTGCCCTAATGCCTCTTCTGTCCCCAAAACCTGCCAGAGATGTGGGGAGGGAATGCAATGCAGGCCCCACTCCCTGCTGGAGAAGGAGCTTGGCTGGTAGCAGGCTCCTAGGACTGAAGTGTGTCACCACCTCCATTTCCAGCTCAGGCCAACAGTGTGGTCCAAAAGCTGCTGCCCTTGGAGTGATGAGAATCACCCAGCCCACCTACCTGGCCGTGAGGGAGTGGGACGTCACTGGGGCTTCCCAGTGCAGGAAAGGCACGCTCTGCAGCTGGATGTGCATGTCGTAGAGTCCCTGCAATTAGAGACAAGCCATCAGGAGAAGCCTGGTGAGATGCTAAGGGGCACAGCCAGGCAGGGAGCACATGCTTGTTCTGGCCCCCAGCAGCTCTCCAGTGACCCTAACCCTGATCCACAGCCTCTTGCCAGGTCCCAGTGAGCACACCAGCCCTCACCTCCACAAAATAGTCTCCCACAATCTTCGCTGTCATCAGCACCAGCATGATGGGGAAACCGTAAGTGACATTGCCTGTCGCCTCCATCATGATGACCGTGAGACTCAGCGTCATCCGCACTATTCCACCTGTGAGAGGCATCCAAGGAGTTTGGGGGTTTAGGGGAGTAGGGAAACATGGGGTGAGGTGACAGCCAACACTGGAGATCTTTGAGTCTTTGCATGGTGGGGATGTGCCAGACGAGCCCAGATTCCCCTCATACCCCAGAACTGCCTGTGCTTGGCAGTGTTGTTAGGAAGCTGACAGCCAGGCTGGGCTTCAGCTGGGGAAGAAGCCGAGATTGCCAGGGAAGCAGGCACCACTTTTTCCCATGCCACCTTCACCCTGACATGAGCAGGAGGTGGCCAAGACTGCGCTGTGGGGAACTCACCCAGCTGAGCGGCAGCTCCCATCAGAGCGTACTTCCCGGGGTCAGCCCAGATCTGAGCACAGGAGAGAGAAGGAGCAGTCAGCCGCTGGCTCCAGGACATCTAGTTATTGAGCAGTGCCCTGGCCCCTAAACCTCCCTTCAAAGTAGTGAGGTGTGTCTGAGGCTGCCTGCACAGCCCAGCTGCTGGCAGGGCTCTGTCAGGACGTGGCAATGCCCAGACCCAGCTCAGGAAGACATCAAGCAAGGAGCCAACCCACTCTGAACTGCTGTGCCAAGCTCTGAGCCAGCTCCATGCACACGAGCTGCCTGTACCACCTGCCCAGAGATGAGGGAGGAGGGCTGGGTGCTGCAGCTCCCCGCATCCAGTGACCCTTCCCACCAAGGACTCACCGAGCCTTTGGTTAGGTAGGACAGGGAAATGCCAAAGAGCCTCCCCCAGGCAGCACCGATCAGCAGGGAGGGGATGAAGACCCCTGCCGACACCGTGAGGCCATAGGTCCAGCAGGCCAGGAAGAAATACATCAGTGTGAACATGCCCAGTGTCATCGGGTTGTAGGAACCTGGGGTGAAGAGAGAACAGAGAGTCAGTGCTGGGCCCACAGCCCAGAGGATGCCGTGGTGGGCTGTGGCCATGGGAGAACAGACAGCAGAGGCACGACACCCTCCCAGCAGCGATAGGTGCACCCAACGATAGGGGCTCTCTTGTAACACTTCCCCTGGCAGCACAAGCCTTTCAAACCAGTTTTTCAGGTTGTTTCTGGCCCTCGAGGGCCCCGCCAGCTGGCCGGTGCCATTCCAAGCCCTCCCATCCCACCGAGTCCAGCACATGCCTTCTCTCCATCTCACAACCCATGATGACCTGGCCCCTCCTGCCCTCTCGGTTCCCAGCCTCCCCCAAGGCAGTGAGAAACTCCAAAACCTCGAGGGACCACCAGCATTCAGGGACGAGGTCGGGAGGACAGAAGTGCTGGTGAGCTGGCAGGGGTCCTACTGCCAGCTTTGAGATCAACTCAGCAGAGTCAGTCCTGCAAACCTCCTCCTGTCCTGCAGCTCCCACGGCTGCTCCAGCCAGTCCCAAGCTGCTCCACAGCACAGGCAGTGCCATCACAGCAAGATCCTGCTGTCCTCAGGACTCAGCCTACTGCTATTTTAGGATTGCTGAGCAGCTCAGTCGAGTTTAAACGAGTACTTTGCAACCTCTCCTTCACAGAGAGGTCAGTGGACCAAAGCCTTGAGCCAGTGGGGACCCAGCACTACAGGGAGCAGTCCTGAGACACAAAGTGGTTATCACTTGGCTTCAGGTGGCCAAGCCAACACTCTCTGGGCTGAGGGTCTAGAAATCCAGTGCTGTCTGCTCCCTGTCCATGTGCATCTGGGTAAGAAACTCAGAGCAGCAGGCAGAGGGCACACTGTCATTACACTAGGTCCAAGGGAAATGGGAGCTGGAACCTGGGAGCCAAATTGCATTTCTCAAGCAAATCCAAATACCAAGATCCACCTCCGCAACCTGCCCAGAAGGTAAAGTCATTCTGGGGCAAGAGGCCTGGTAATTAAGAAAACAGCCAAGGACATTTCCAGGACAGACTTCAGACAGCCACTGAGGGTAAGACATGCTCTCACGTAACTCAGAAGCAACAGCTTGCAAACATGCACAAACAAAATCAGGTCTTTGTCCACGGGCTCCTGAGACCACAGCCTTTTGGCCAAGCTTGTAGGTGCCACCAGGCACAACACCCATCCCTTCTCCTTCTACCACCACAGGAAAGGAGCATGCACAGTGCTTTCCTGGATCCCATCATGCTCTCGTGGGGCCGTGTTGATCACCCCCTGCCTTGTAACCTGATCAGCCAGGGAACGGGTCAGCCACCTTGCACAAGCCCAGCCCCAATATGCTCACGTTCAAGGACCCACTTGCCGGGTGCACGGACCTGGAGGGTCATGGAAGAGGTTGACAACACTCTTCTCAGGTGTGTTGAAGAAGGCAGTGGCCATGGAGTTGTACTCTCCATCAGCACAGAAAAGCTGAGGAGGAAGAAAAGAGAAAGTTAGTTGTGGTAGATCCAGGCTGCCCTGTGGCAGAGGGCGTTGACTATGAGGCCCAGCACCACAAAACCCAGCAGGGTCTTGTCTCCCTGTTCAGCCCGCAGCCTCTGTCCAGGCTCAGGGTGCTCCCCACCCTGGGGGGCTATTCTCCAGCATCTCCTACCTGCAGGGGATATGCCACCGTGCTCCCCTGGATGGGCTGGCAGTCTCTTGAGCAGTAAATCATGACGAAGCCCACGGTCGCAGTCACTGCTGCCACCAGCATGGCCTCAACCACCTGGAGGCAGGGCCGGTGGATGTACCTGTGAAGGGAGCAGAGTGAGGGTGGCACCCAGGGGTGCAGGCAGGATCACCTGCAGCCTGGCCTGGCACATCACACTGGGCATACAGAGAGGCTAGCAGCCTCTGCTCTCTGCCCAGATCCTGCCAGGCTGCACTGTCGTGGGGACCTAGGACAGGAGGCCAGCAGCAGGAACAGCTCTGCTCAGGCAGCTCCAGCAGACCTGCCCACCTCTCTGCACACAGCCAGGCACAGCTCCCATGGAAAGGCTGGCATTATCTGACTGCGGGGACAGTCCAGGGCCCAGCTCAGAAACCTGTGGCCCATGAAGGCCCAAGATGCCCTGGAAGCTGCTGCAAGCCCCTCACAGCTCCACTGCCACGTGTCATCTCTCCCCAAGACCACAAGTTTGGTTTCAGCATTTGAAAAGCTGCTGACAAGTATTGGCTGTGCCAGACTGGGCTCAGATAGCTTCAGCAGCTCCCTACGCTCTCTCGTTACTTTTAGAAGCACATAACAGGTTTGCACAGTGTTTGCTCCTCTTTGGGCCCTCAAGTCACCAAAGGAAAATACTCAGCAGGGTCAGAACAATGGTGGGATGCTGCGGGCCACAGCCTTGACCACAGGCAGCGAGAGGTACAGGGTATCTCTGCCTTCTAGGGGCTGCTGTTGCTCACGTCGAGTGTGAGATCACAGCCTTGCTCTGGCTGGGAATGTCGCTTCGAGGGAGTGCAGGAGGTGCCGGTCAACCTGTGTCAATCACCTGAGTTACCCATGAGCTCTTACCTGATCCGGAACATCGTTAACCAGTAATTGAGGGCATTGAACAGGGCCCCGAGGATCCCACCTGCAAATGCAAAAGAGGAAAAGCTCAGCACACAGGTACTAGGCTCCCCTATGGCTGCCCAGGACACAAGGAACCTGTGAAGCTCAGGGAGAAATCAACAACCCATCTGGCATGACCAGCAGCCCCAGGACACATGGATGCTGTCCCCACAGAGACAGCCAGGACCTGACACCAAGAGGAGCCTGGCACCAGCAGTGGGATGGCTGGGGGCCAGCATCACAGCACTGGCGAGGGACAAGACAACTTCATGGGGATAAGGGCAGCTCGTTTGAAAGCAAGGGGCTGCCATGACTGTGATGCATTAACCCCACTCAGTGACTTTGCAGTATATGAGTTAAAGGGTTTTGCCTTTGCTACAAGGGTAAGGGTTGGGCCAGGAACCAGCTTTCACCCCCACATAAGCTCCACAAGTATCCTCCGCTCCAGAGTTTAATGGATTTCCCATTCTCCCCCGGAAACTGGATCTCAAAGCAGACAGAGAGCAGAGGAAATTATTCAGACTAATCAAATGGAAAGAACACTCTCTTACCAACCACTCCCATAAAGATGAAGATAGGAATTTCCTGGATTGTGTATCCCATTTTCTACAGGCAAAAAAGAAACAGGTTTCAGACCTCCTGGCCCATCTGCAGCCAGTCACTGTCTGCTGCGACAGCACAAGCCTCCAGCAAGTAGCTCCCAGAGCTGCCCCAGTCTCCCCTGCACATCCCACAGCCCCCAGATCCAGCAGTGGCTGCAGAAAAGCCTTCTGCTGGGGTTCGTGGAGCTGAGATCTGCCCAGACCTCCCAGCCTGTTAGGGCAGAGCCTGCCTCAGTCCCTGGGTGATGCTTTAAGACAGACTGGTAGCCCTAGCTCCTAACCCCCTCAACAGAGCCCTCTGTGGGGAATACCTGTGCCATACCTCAGTATCAAACCTGCCAAAGTTGATGAGGCCAGGGCTGGAGAGATCCCAAGCATTGCCATGGTAAACGCTCAGGACAGAGTTCAGAGTGAATGTAGAGATCATGGAGGCAAAGAACTGGAAGGAAATGCAGCCCAGAGTCACCACTAGACACCTCCAGCCCCAATCCTTCACCATGCACCCCCTGCACTACCCCAAATAATCCCCCCCCCAAGGCCTTTGGGGAGAGCTTAGTACCCATGGTGGAGCAGGACAAGAGACCACGCTCCCTGTGGCAGCACACTGGGCAGTGTACATCGACCAGGGACTCACTCCTCCTTTTGACTCGCCATTGCCCTGAAGCACAGCCTAAAGCAGCTCCCTCAGAAAGGAACTGGGAAGGCAGATGGAGCTCAGCCAGGTTCAAATTCAGCCCTTGAGGACCAGGGCACAGAAAGGGAGCTGGGATGCTGTTCCCTGGGATGTGTTACACATGGCTGCCCAGCTGAGGCAGGGATGGCAAGAGGGCTGGAGCTGTGGGGTACTGGGAAAAGGCAGTGCCTCACACCAGAGCTGGCAGCCCTCGATTTACTGCTCCTGCTTTCCAGCACTTACAATTCTCCAAGTCAGGAACTGGTTCCAGAAGGAAGCCCCTTCCTCCAAGCTGAAGAGGACACCCCCTGCAAGTGCAAGACAAACAAACCTTCACAAGGGGCATATGCCACAAACCCTTGGTTCACAGCACCAATTGAGGCACCCAAATTCAGCCCAGCCCATGTGACCCACACCGTCCCAGACCTCACAGGTTCCAGCAAAGGGATCAGCAAGCCCACCAAACCATCAGTGATGCACTGATCACAGTGAAGCCCCTTCACTGCCCTCCTCCATCCCAGGGGGGCAACATCTAGGATCTGAGACAGATGACCCCTCTCCTCTCTTCCCAAGACCTGTGCGGTATGGCAGGACAGCTCAAAGTGAGGCCAGGCACTCTGTGCTTCTGCAGTGCTCCAGGCAGATCCTAGCAGCTGCCTCCATACAACCAGGAGCAACCTCCTGGTGAGATCCATGTGCAGGCACTGCTCAGCATCAGAGAGCCAAGACACGCACCCACAGGGGCACCAAACGCAGCCGAGACGCCAGCAGCAGCTCCAGCCGAAACAAAGTCTCTCTTTTCTGTGTCTCTGCGGAAGTACTCGAAGATCTGAAACACCAAAATGAAGGTAGGTTTAGGGCTGGCCACAGGCAAGAGTTTAGGGGAGAAAAAGGGTACGTCCCAAGCCACCAGAATGACACCAAGGAACAGCCTGATTTGGGCACCTGCAGCACAGCCCCTCCACCCTCAACACCAACCTTGAAGTCTCGCTTTAAAGATGTAGATCTTCCCTGGGAGATCCCAGCAGCAATCACTGCTCCAGAGTGAATCATGGGTCCTTCCTGAGGGCAGGAGAGCAGAGTCAGATTGGAGAAAGAAGGACCCCAGGGACAGTCAGGGACAGCTGAATGCTGCTCACCAGGACACAGCTGTGGAGAAGCCGGCCAGGAGGATTTCCCTCCAGGAAATACAGACCTGGCCATTAATCTCCCTTAAATCCTCATTCTAGCAAGTGGCCCTGTGGCCACCTCCTGCTCCCACCAGTGCTACCTCCAGCTGAGGGGACAGGGGCTTCCCTTGACTGCCTTTGATCCCAACAAGCTAGAAAGGTCCCAGTGGAGCACCCAGGTCTCCAAACCCATCTAACATTTGCAGGGGCAACCACCGACGGACAGAGGCTGCTGCTTTCCTGCCCTCAGCCGAGCCACACACACACTGGCTTGGTGGCACCACACTCCCTGGAGGCTCCCCAAGCCTGGCCACATCAGTCACCTCGGTCAGCAGACCGGAGAATAAAACTGGGAAGTCACTGCAGGGCTCCCAGCGCCCTCTTCCCAGCACAGGGCTGGTGACAGGCTGTGGGCAGCAACATGGCAGCAGCATGCCAGAGAGCGCTGGGTGCACATCACCTTCCCAACGGCGAGGCCGCCGACCACTGAGAGGATGACCCCGCAGACTTTGATCACCAGGGTCTGCAAAACAAAGATGACAGGCACAACACATCAAAAGGGTGGCATGAGGAACACAACTGTGGCAGCCATGAGGGACACAGACCCAGCAACCCCAGGGAACTTGTGATTCTCAGCCCCTCGTAGGAATAGGTTTGGTCAACTTTCTTCTTGACCTGAGCAAAAAAGCCCTACTCAAAGCTGCTCTTTCCAGCACCAGCTGCCCATTCCAGTGCAAGGAGTTTAATGACCCGACCCCAGGAGGAACAATCTATGGAGGTGGGCAATGCAACAGGATGGCCAGAAGCTCCCAACAGCTCCTCCTCTGCCACCACTCAGGCAGGGACCACTCCACAAGGACACAAGGCACCCAGGCCAGCTCAGGAGAGGGAGCCCCAACACAGCAGAAGGCATGCATCCCACCACCTCCTGCTTCTCACCTTGAGGCGGACGACGTGTGGGATCTTCACACCGTTGAGATAGCATTTGATCTGGGGAATGCCACTGCCAGCTGCGACAGGCTGCGGGGAGCAGGGAGAGCATTAGTGGCTGCCTTGCACAGGATGGGGACACACTGGTCACCTTACCCCTGTCCCTCACCACAGGGCACACCAAGCATGCCCTTGGGCAGGCTCAGAGACGAGGCCCAAAGCCTATCTAAAGACTGTGGAGGTGGGCTTGAGAGAGGCGCCCACTGATCCTATGGGCAAATGTGCCAGGGAGGAGGAGCCGGCTGGGTTCTTGGGCGACACTACAGTGTCCTCATCACAGTGCCACGGCAAGAGGCCCAGTGCCGCAGAAGGCTCACACTGGGTGGCCAGGGAGAGCAAGAGCAAAGCCACAAGGAAGATACTGCTGACCCAGAGTAGCCCATGGGGATCCATTGCCATCCCAGCCATAACCAGCTCCAGTCTCTGGTTTGTCCTCCCAAGCAAGTCCCTGAGGCACCCGACCAGCCTGCTCTCTGCTGGTGATCGTGCACACCCAATACGGAGAGGCTGAGCCGAGGCCAAGGCCTGGGAGCTGCACCTGTGCCCAGAGCTGGAGCACACCTCTGCCCTAGGCTGCCAGGGAAGGGCAGCATGTCCCACCAGTCTGGCACCCCAGGAGAAACTCAACAGCACAGCTGGAGCCAACACCAAGGAACAGGGGCTACCAAGAGCCAATCTGGCAGAAAAACGTTTGCTATTTCACAAACTTGTGTGTTTTCTGGAGACATGATCCTGCTTCCCCTATGTAAAGAGCTGGGGCAGGAGGCACAGGGGTACCCCACCCAGGCCACTTCCAAACTCTTACCTCTATGAAAGCAACGATCACGGAGCCCACCATCACCACGCTGGCATTGAGGGTGGCCCAAAGTAACAGGGAGAAAGACAGGCCTCCTTTCTCTGTGAATTTGTCAATGTCTGGGGAGGCGGCTCAAGGAAAGGCCAGTATTGGTTGGGTACCATCCCTCCCACCACAATAAGGCATTGCTAATATGCTTCTTGGGCTGCAGTGGTCCAGCAGATCCTGTGCACTTAGAGCAGCCAGGGCTTCTGCGAAGAGCCTCCTCTGTTATGACAGTGCCCGGCCACAGCTCAGTCCTGCAGAGCAGCCAGGTATTCAGCAATAGGGTCTGTGCCACCAAACCCAGGCAAGGAAGCACTGCCCTCTCCCCTGGCACTCATCTCACTGCTACCATGAACAGAGAACCCACAGCTCCCCACTGGCCGGCAGCCACAGCTCTGTGGGAGGATACTGCCCTTCACCACGCGGTACTTCAGCCCTGCCAGGTTCTCCACCACGATGTCGATGAAGCAGGCGACAAGGCCGGTGAGGATGCCGATCATGGCACAGATGACCCAGCGCTTGATCTCCACTGTCCGGAAAGCCTGAGAGACAGACAGCTGTCAAACCCCGCTGCCACCCACCCTGGCTCAGTCAGCATCAGGGGGGGCTCCAACCCAGCTGGACACCTTCCTCAAGACAGCCCTAAGCCATGGGCTCCAAAGAGAGCTGCCCAGGGAAAACTGGGTTGGCTCACCCCAGATTGCAAGGCATGGCCACAGTTTACTTATTTTAAGTCAGTGCCCTTGCTCCTCTGTGGGATCTCAAACAGCAGATGTGCTTTTCCAGCCCTCCTGCCTCTGTCAGGCCCCTTCTGTTAGGCTTCTTGCTGCAGCACTGACTCCCAGAGCCTCCAGGGCAGATGATTCACATGGCTCCAGAAGTCAGTCTACTCAGGAGCCTGCTCTGTGCCACCTGGCAACACCACCATGCACACAGGCTAGCTCCTGTTCAAACCATCCTATGCTGGGTCCTTGCTCCTGAGGTTTTATGGCTTGTCACAAGCTGGTCAGTGCCCACAAACCCACCTTGGCTCAAGCGCTGCTTTGAGCACAACTTTCACAACAGCAGCTGGGCAGGGGGAACGGCTTCCCTGGGCCACACCAGCTGCAGGGATGGTGGGCAACTGGGTTTTGGCAAGACTTACCGTGTGGTTTATCCTCCTCTCTTCCTCCAGGAACAGCTGGTTTTCACTGTTGTCATAGTCCAGGCTCTAGTTCAGGAAAGGGAGATGCTGTTACTGTCTAGCACAGGGGAAGAAGCACCCATGCCAGGGAGGTCTGGTCCCAGACCCTCACCCCTGCCCCTCCACACCCCTGTAATCTTTTTCCTCTCTCAATTCAGCTCCTTCCCCACTGAAACCCCTCTAGCTGGGCAGCCACAACCCCTCGCCCCGTGTACCTCACTCACTGCATCCCAGAGGGCAGAGCTGAAGGAGGGAAATGGGTGCTTACCTCATACTTGAGCGACAGGAGCTTCTCATTGTGGGGGATCTCGTTGGGATGCTGCCGAGGGAGCTCCGTCTCCTGCAGGATGAGATGCACACGTTAGGAGGGCCAGGTCCAAGTCCAGTCCTCCTCTCTGCCACATAACTGCTGGTTTAATATTGGTTTTCGTGCTCAGAAGAGGTGAAGAGGACTGCAGAGACCCAAGTCCTAGTGCAAGCTGTCTGGTAAGCCAGGATCCAGGATTATTTTCCACCAGTTGGTGGATGTTTGAGATTTAAGGCAGCTAGAACAGGCTGTCAGACACATACCCTCGCCCACCAGGATGTTCCCCCATGGGCAGATGGAGGGTTTGCCCAGCTGGGTATCACACTGCCATGTTGATCTGGCGCTGCCTCCAAGCGGCTCTGTGCTGCGGTGGAGGGCAACCTTTCACCTCAGCAGGACAGCCAAAAGCAAGGAGTTATTTTAAGCAGGCTCATGTTTTTTGGGCAGAAATCAAATTCTGTTTCCCAAATGCCTTTGACCGTGCAAGCTGTTCCCAGCTCCGAATTCGGGCATTTACCGAGGATGCCAGAGGGGTCCCCAGGGCAGCAGCACCCTGCACCCTTCCCCAGCGCCACGTTACGGACACAGCCAAAGCTGTCCCAGCCTGTCCTCTGAGGTACTGGATTAAGACTTATTTCTTCCCATTTAAGAATTTCACAAGAAATATTTAGCAAAAGTCATCTTCTTGTTTGCTCTTCCAACAGCTCCATGGCTGAGGCAGGAGCATCTGGGGAAGAACAGCTTTTCTGGTGTGCACAGGGGGAAATAACTTGAAACCTGGGAGTTTCTGCAAGATGCCTCGTCTGCCTAGCTCTGTCCCCAGGGCTGAGATGTCCCATCCCTTGCCTTCATGCAAAGCTGGGGAGCAGACAAGAAAAGCAGATTTAGGAAGCTCTCATGGCAACAAGGAAGAAATCCCTTCCCACTCCTGCACTTGATCCCTTGGGAGGAAAGTCCCCATGCCAGCAGGCTGGTGCTGCTGCCCGGAGAGGCACAGGGGACTGTGACATGCTCAGGCCAGCACTGCAGCTAAGGGGAAGCAGCGAGGGTCAAGGCAGAGCAGCAGGCAGCCCACGCCACAAAGGTCACCTGGCCCAGGAGGAAGCACCGAAGCCCTCATGGGACAAGCGGGATGTCAAGCGGGAAACAAAAGCAGCCATTAGTGCCGTAAGTGGAAGAAGGGAAGGGGTCTCTCAGTAACAGCAAGCCCCTTTCTGTGCCACTCACCAGCTCATGGACGTCCTCATTGAGGTCCACATTGCTCAGCTGCCCGATGCGCAGGAAGGAAGCAGCTGTGAGCTGAGGAAAAGAGGGAAAATGAAGTCAGCTCCTGCAGGCGCTGCAAGCCTCGGGAGAAAGAAGCAGGCCCATGGGTGCCCATGCTCTGTTCCCCTTGCCAAGCTCTCCCTGCCGGCCCACTGCCAGAGCCCTTCTGAAGCACAGCACCCATGGATGGCAGTCACAAGCAGCCCAAGATGTGCCAGGGCTACTCCTCACCTCATGCGCTCAGCCAGCAAAAAGGGATGGCCGAGGGTACGTTTGGCTCTGCCATCTGCTCCAGGGGAGCAGTTCCCAGCCAGGGAGACAAGCACATCAGCGCATTTGCCTCCCTCCAAGCAGCCGGGACCAGAGCGACAGCCGGGCCAGCTGCCAGCCAGCACAAAGAGGAAGTGGGGCACATTGCTCCCACACAGCCTCGGAGACACCAGCGCCTCTCTGAGCCAGCCCTGGCGCGATGCTGGGAAGGAGTGTTTGTATCTCTGTCTGGAGAGACCAGTTCTCCTTTCACTGGTGACCACTCAAGCTTGTTACTGGCAGTGCAATTGCATAATGTGGGAGGTTTGGGGCTATTTGGGGCACCTCTCATCTCCTGGCCGATGCAGGCAAGGGCTGGGACTGCGACCGAGCCAGCCTCCATCCAGGCAGCGCCAAGAGGGTAACCAGCAGAAGCTGCTGTCACCCCTGCATCGTTGTGAAATGCAGGGATGCACAGGGGTGCGAGCAGCGCTGTCACTAAGCACAGCCCAAACACCATTTCTCAGCACTAATGTCTTCCCCTCCACCCGCCCTCCTGCCCAGCTGCCAGGTTGAAGGACAGGAGAATAAAGGAGTGATGGTGAGCAACAGTGGGGCCCTGGCACATCAGTCCCTCTCTGCTGGGGCCGGCAGATCCCAGATTGAGCCCCTGCTGCTTTAATCTACACCGATCCTGTCTGGAACACGCAGGTCAGAGCAGCTGGGAGCCATGTGCATCACCGCAGATATGAAGAATATCCCTTTGTGTTTGCAGCCTGACCTATTTTCCCATTTCTCTGTGTGCTCCATGCTCTCATGCGCTTCCTGACCTGCAGGCAGGTTTTGCGCCAGCTTCTCAAACCCTCTTCGGTGCCCTTTTATCCCCAGCAGCTTAAGCACAAAGTGCTTCATGCAGCCGTTTTTGGACACTGGTTTGGTGAGACCAGCCTGGGCTTTGGCTCTGGTCTACGACGGCTCCGCAATCTCCCTGGAAAGGATCCAGGCAGACCCTTGACCCAGCAGTCGGAGCAAGTACAGCAGTGGCTCACAGACCACCACAGGCTCCCATGTGCCAGGCACACCCAAAGCGGTCCCCTCCCTGGGGGGATGGGGATGGGATCTTGGCAGAGACACGAGCTGGGGGCAGAACCTGCCCCTTCCAGTGCCCACCCAGCCAGGCCCCCGCAGCCCCAGGGAGGGAGAAGAACAGGGTCCTTCTCTAAAACCCTGGGAGAGACAGAGCAGAGACCTTGCAAGGGAAACCCCTCCACTCAGCTTCAGGAAGCACAAAATTTTAAGGTTCCCATTAGATGCCACAAGTCCAGGGCAAGATCAAGGCAACAAGATGGAAACCACCACCTACGCCATGTCCCCGACTCACGCCCGGGCTCAGACCCACGACAGGACCAGCTCTTCAGAGAAATCCTCCTGCTAGTCATGGAGGTCTGCAGAAAGACCAAACACAGCTAAACCAGTGACACACATACTCCTTAGACCCCTTCCCAGTGGAGTAAGCGGCCACAGCACAGCAGCTCCAGTTTCCAACAGATTAGGCAGCACCAGGGCCCATGCACAGATGAAGGGAAAAGAGCTGAAGTGGATCTGAAGTTGAACTTCATTATATAAGCAACGTGTTTTCAGTATGACCCCGCTAAGTCCTGGCACCCCTCTGGCACCCAGACAGGCCGAGTTGCTCTGCGAGCAGAGGGCTGGCTCCCATCTCACCCAGTGTGGGGATCACATGCCAGAACAGAAAAAAGCCACTTCCATCAGCAGCCATCTTTTATAAGAGGAATGAGAAATCCAGGAGCCAAGACAGAAGGTTATTTGTGCACAGGTCAAAAATTCAGCAAGCACGTGGACAGCACCACCTTTGGTTGTTTTGCAAACTGTGGCCAAGACAGCTGCTGATCCCAGGCACATCTGATGCTGGTGTAACCGCAGCACGATTATCTCCACATAACAACATATGCTGTTGCCAAAACCCACAGGACACAGACGAGTTCCCAGCTCTCCTGTCCCAGGAGAGGCTCTTGGGACAGCTGGGCCTGCCTCCGACAGCGCTGCACTAACAGCAGTGGCACCCAGCCTTCAGCACTCACCCTGTTTGGCCGGTAAAACTAGTTCCTTATTTATCTTAAGCTCTGTAAAGAGATGTCCAGAGCCTTGATCTGGACCAATACTGCTTAACGCCTTTGTCAGCGGGGCAGTTGGTACACTGGCAGGCAAGGCTGCTACTCAAAGGGACCTCACCAGGCAGCAGAGAAGCCCCCAAAGTTCAACAGAGGCCAACACAAAGCCCTGCACCTAGGATGGATGCACCCCTGTGGGTGTCCCTGTGGTCAGAAAGCAGCTTTGCTGAAAAAGTCTTGTAGCAAGCTGGTGGATGAGTTGAAGAGAAGTCAGCAGCACACAGATGCAGCGGTTGACCAGGTTGACCACCTTCTGGGTGGTGCAAGACCACAGCAGGTCCAGGGAAAGGATCCCACCCTCTGCTCGGCACCTGCCAGAGCACGCCTGGGACTTGGCACCCAGTCTGGACTCCCCAGGACCAGAAAGGCATTGAGACACAGGAACGAGTCCAGCAAGACAGCCAGGGGTTGGAGCACGTGGCAAGACGTACAAGGAGAAGCCAGGGCTTCTCAGGGAGGTCTTCTTGGACCTTCAGCCACCTAACAAGAAGTCACAGGTAAGACGGCACCGGACTTTCCTCGAAGCCTCGCACTGATATGACAAGAAGCAGTAGACAAGCTGCAGCCAGGGAACTTGTGCTTTGGTATCAGAGACAAGTGTTCACTGCGAGGGTGGTGACACTGAACCCGGGCAGAGAGGCTGCAGGATGGAGATCCACTGGACGTGCCCCTGGTCAAACAGATCTGCTGCTCTTAGCAGGGGCTGGGCTAGAGACTTCCCAAGACCCCTTCCCCCTACACCACGCTGCCGCCGCTCCAGCACTGCCTGAAACAGGCAAAAGCAAACGCTGGATCAATCTCAACAAGTAATATAAAATCTGGCAGAAGGTCTCAACCATCGCCTTCTACTCAGGCCCTGAAAGGACCATCTCAAAGGTCAGGCAATGCTAGCTGGAGCATCACAGGTAGGGTTACAAGACAGCAGTGCTACTGCCAGCCTCTTTGCTCGTCAAAGGTGACAAGAAGCCACACAGCTACATGTGATGCCACAGCAGCATTTTACCTCCAAGCAGAGCAGTCAGAGAGCAATCCCTGTTTGCGAATAGCAGAATGACTTTAGTGGAGGCTAAAACGCTGCAAAACAAACCCAGGCTGTGTGCACAGCAACCTGGCTGTGCCTCCCAAACATCACTCTGAAGAACCATAAACAGGAAGCGTCTGCTCCACAGCCGATTTCCGTTGGGACAAGACAGTGAGGCCATTCCTTCTGGGACATCACCCATCCCCAGTGACCACCACCTGGAGCAAAGACACCCCCCATACACTGTCTCTTATCACCATTCTGCTGCTCACTAACGAACTGGAAGCTTGTGGCTTTCTCTTATCAATGAGATAAAGCATGGCACAAGCCACATTACACATATTACACAAGCAGTGGGAGGGAAGGAAGAGGATTTCCAGCCCCCAGGGCCCCGCTGGCCCCAGCATGCTCTGCCCAGGAGCCCCCAGCACCTGGGAAGGACGGGTGACACAGCCCTGCAGCCAGGTGGCTCACCAGCAGGGGAAGCCCCATCATCAGCCACAGCAGCGCAAAGAGGGAGACGAGCTGTGGGGCTCTGAAAATCCACTCCACTGACACACAAGCACAGCTACATTGGGCTTCATGCCACACAGCCATCATCCCCAAAAGCACATCACGAGAGAATGAAGCTCCTCACCTCCAGGTCCATAACAGGGGAGAACGCGTCCAGACTCTCCCCACGTTGTCACTGCTTAGCTGCAATTTTGCTCCCAGCCTCCTGCTGCTGCCCCAGAGCACAGCTGCTCCTGGCCCTCACCTGCACAAGGCTGGGAGATGCCCTTGCTGTCCTGGCCCAGCTGCCTGTCTCCAGGCACCTTGTCCCATGTGTCCCCTCTGCAGAGGAGCGGTGCCAGGCTGAAGTGCCACTGCAGACCCCAATGGTGCAAGGACCCAGCAGCAGGGACTGGACTCGGTAAAACCCCTCTGCTTGGGGAAGCTCCTGCCACCATCCAAGGACAGTAGCTTTCCAAGGAGGCCAGCTTCAGGCTCCCAGCAGCAAGCGGGCAGGGACAGGCAGCCCTCTCTGCCGGTACCCAGGGGCTGAGAAACCTGCAGCCCATCTGCCAGGAATCAAGTCTCACTCAGCATACTTCTCTTTTTCTCCCCACCCCCCCCCCCCCCACATTTCCTCCTCTTTTTCCCCCCCCCCCCCCCCCGCCAAGATTTTCCGATTGCAGCAAGTGCAGCAGCCCTCCAGTGTCACCACCTTGCTACAAAGGCTGCATTTTACACCCTGCTACTTGAAATTAAAAAAACCAAGACTGACAATATCCAGAGAATAAGCACACAGGGGTTAACAAGGACAAGCCAGCCACCGGCAGCAGCCTGGTCCACAGTTTGGTGACCTCCTGCCCACACCTCTGTCCCTTCAGGGACCCCCTGAAGTGTGAGCATTATACCAATCCCAAAGTCAAGGCATTTTAACACAAACATAGAGCACATCCTCCATGAGCAGTGAAGGAGAAGTGTTCTTTTTTGAAAAATGCCTTATGACAGAAATTGGTTGCTCTTACTAAAATTGTTCAGCCACTTTTCAGCCTAAGAACTGACAAGTGTGGCTTGAGAACACG